TTCCTGCTGCCGAGGGAGAATCAACTGGGATGAAGCCCTGCCTTGATACCCAGGCCACTGGGGGCATGTGCCTTTGTGCCCTTATGACTAAAAGGGCTTCTACTCCAAATGCAAAACGTGCTCTCCTGCTGACATCCCCCTCCTTTGCTGATGGATGTCAGTGACATCTTCAGTTCATTTTAAGCTACTTCAGGAATGAGATGCAAAAAACTTATCTGTAGCCAAGGGAATGCAGGCTATCTTGAGCAATTAGTACTGCTCAGCTCTGAATTTTTCCTCAGTGGATCATCCTGCCCCACTAACTGTAATGGGTGTCCAGAGAGACTAATCCCACCGGGATGAAGTTACTCTTCTTCACAAACTGACTTCCCATATGTTCCAAACCTTTTTAATCCCTAATGCCAAAGCTAGTCTCAGTAGGGTCTCCCTGTTTTTGCAGTATTCAGGATTCCCACCCCCTGTGAAACAACCTGACCTTCTTTATAAAGTGAAACTCACATAAACAGAAACATATTGGCAGAGTGTCCCTGAGGTTGCAACCTCCACAGTGCCTTTCTCCCTATCTATCATGCACAACTCACTTGAAAATCTCAAATGATAACTGAATTAAGCTAGGATTTCTTCAATATCCCATATTTTTTGCCCAAAGGTAGTACCAGCTATTTCTAAACAATTTCTGCCAGATACTGATTTCCTCTTTTGTTGTAAGAAAACAGAACAGCAAAAGACCTGGAATGATGGAGACTCGACAACCTGCAAAAAATGTCTGTTTCAGTGCTCAACTACCATTACTCTTAGAAAGACCTTTTTTCCTAATATGTAGCTTAAATCTCTTTTGTTTAAGCCTGTTGTGCCTCAAATGTTGCTGCATCTGCTGGGTTAGGACAATAAATAACTTGTCTCATTCTCTTTAAGGACTCTCTGAGGGGGATTGTTATTGTGTTCTTAATCAAGCTTGCTGTCTCCAGCCTAAACAAATATACCCAATCTTTCATCAGAGATCACATTCCCTAAATCATTCTCATTTCTCTGGGATTGGTCCAAGTTGCCCTCAAATTGGGATGCCCCAAAGATACTGTCTTCTGTGCCTTACATGGCTCTGCTGGCAAAAAGCAACTCTAAGAGGTGGGACAGTTTCTGATAGCAGCCAACCACCAAAGCTGCTGTCCTACCTCCTCTTCCACAAAGGGCACAGAGACATGCCAAGGAAAATACAGCTTCTGGAAGGCAAGTGTCTTTGTTTTGTTGTTAACGAGGAAATCATGCTACAGCAGCTTTCAATATAAGATAAATATTTACTCTTATTTAGGTCACAGAGTGTTTTCTGCTTATGGGCTAAGTCCAGGGATTTAATGAAATAGGGCCTAGTATAAGTAAGTCTGGAGAATAAAAAGCTGACCATTAACATGCTTATGTTATGTTAATGTAGCTCACAGGAACAGGAGGAGAAAATGCATCTTTAGCTTAAGGACAAAATCCGTCCTTCTTTCTACAGGAAATGACATAATGCTGGTTTGATGTTCAACAAAAACAAATGTTGTGCATCAGGCTGCGGTTGCATGATGGGTCTGGAAAATAACTGACCATTAATCCAGTTTGTATGACCACCAAAGAGGTTCTAGAAGTTTTTCAATGTAAAGGTTATTTTGCTTCTGCTTGATATTACGAATTGGGCCCATTCACAGCATCTGCCAGGGCAAACTACACTTTCATTATTACAGTTCTTGTGGGACCACATTATTTTCTGCCTGTTCTGCAGAGACAAGTAGCAAAAAAAAAATAAATTTGCTTCAGTAGAACCTACCAAATGAGCTATAAAATAGGCAGATATTTCATCCTCTCTGTACTCTTGCAAGTCCTCTGTGCTAAGTTTGTTTTTCCAAATTAGTCTTGGATTTTTCTGACCAGTTTTTATTTTCCCACCACTATAAACGATAAAATGAAATTGTAAACCAGTTGGCTGTGATATTGTATTCTTGTTTATGCAAAAATATGAATATTTTGAAGGTCTAAACTGTATTTTGTTTTTTTACCAGAGAGTGCTTACTACTTTTAAAATTTGATGTATGTATGCTCAGGTTTATAGACATGAGGCATATGAAGTTCCTGTATCCCAGCTAAAGACATTCTAGGATATTCTGTCTAAAAAGGCAGAAAACAACCATTTGGGGATGGGCACTGATGTGATATGAAGTGATAAATGGTCAATTCTGGTTGTCCAGACTTGAATAATCAGCATTTAAACCAGATTTTCCAAGTTTGGCTCTGCCTGGCTTATAGCAGAAGCCACCCGTCTTGAGGGCCACTGTAGCTGCAGCACAGCTGCAGAACAGGAGGGAAGGGTGGCTTCAGCCTGTGTGCTCTGTGTTCCCTGTTGATTTGTCCTGTCCTTTGGTCTGAAATGCTGAAAGAACTTCTGGGAACTGAGACTCTCAGGCTACCTTTGGCAACACTTAGAGAGCTCAAGGAAAGGGCTGAGAGGGGAAGCAGGGCTACCACTTCATATGCTGGAGTTTGTAACATCCAGCAAGTCTAATCCAAAGGCTTTGTGCTGAACTTGAGTACTGAAACTATGAGGTTAAGTCACTCTTCAGACAAATACAGTAACATATTTTTAATACTTACAGTTGACTCCTTCTCTGTCTTCATTTGGTTGGACACCTGTTGAAACAAATGCACTGTTTCAGTTATGTAGGATAGATAACTATATTCTTTGGCAAAACAGGATTTGCAACATCCATAAAAGTTCAACGTGTTAAACACTCTTTGGACAGCAAAATGCAGGCCACACTCTATTGGCTTACAATTTAGGTCAACATTTCAGCAACAGCCCTACTCCGTGTTTTGGGACAGGGTCCTGCACCTCTCTTGGGTTGTTTCTGAAGGAAGGACATGGCTCCTGGCATAGCTGCAGCAGATGCTGGGCAACATCACTACCCTGCTTTCTCCGGCTCTTTTCTGAAGCACCTGGGCTTGCCAGCCACAAGGAAGAGGGCATGGATTTTCTTCTTCATCCATGAAAATTGTGGCTGCCCTGGTTCCCTTTTCTTAAATGTTAGCTCTTGTTTACCTGCAAAGTGGCTTACAAAAGTACTCAGATACATCAGGAGACGGAGTCTTGTTCACAAGACATCTTTTAGAGCTACCTTTTGTTCTGTCTTGCCCAGAACTGAAGAGTCCTGCATGTGGTCAAATGCAGCAATCCAAAAGCACGTATGTGTAACGTGCAGTGACAGTGAGATATGCTCTATTTCTAACTTGTAGAAAGTTGCTTGATCCCAGTGGGATCTTGAACACTGAACTCTAAAGCTCTTGGAATTTACTTATGCTCTGATTTCTCCTTTGGATTGTGCTAAACAAAGACAGCTACTGACCCCAGTTCTGTTCCACAGAGGATCATCCCCTCCAGTTGCCCAGCAAGACCCTGCAAGGCTTGTAGCTGAAAAACTACGGCCTGAACTGGCACAAAGTCTGAGTTACTCAGCAGTTAACTTCTGTGAGGCAGAAAACTATAAAGAATAATATGTTCTGGGGCACTACATGTCCACTCCAGGACTTTGATAGCAGCATGACTTGCTGCTGTTGTGTGCAGAGAATTTACTTGTAACTTCTAGCAATATGCTGTATTACGTGAAAAAAAATGGCAAATGAAAATGGCATTTTTCAGATTAGGTGATACAAATGAAGGGCTGCATTACCTGTGTAGGATACTAGTTTAGATGATCTCTGTCTGCGCACCCAGCAGGTCAAGATAGCTAGAAGGCCTATCAGAATGACGATGGAAATGATGCCAGCTGCTTGAGCACCTCGTCCATTTTTTTCCGGGTTTTTGTGGCTTTCTATACTAGAATCATTGCTTTGCTTCTGCTGCGTGTCTAGGATAAAACAGGAAAAGGATGTAGCAAGGTGTACATTTCCACATTTCATTGTAGGCAAATATTTGACCCCCTTTTACACACATACACAAACATTTCTGAAGGACTAGTATCAGACTGATTCTCACGGTATTCATTCTGAGCAAGGCACATTGCCAGCTCACACTGTCTAATAATACAATGCCAGTTTATTTCTCCCTGTCATCATACTGCATGCATCCTTCTTTCTTCCTTTTTGTTCTTTCCTGCCAGCCTTGGGAGACCGTATGTTTGAGCTTATGTCTAGACTTAGTTGAAAACAAATCTATACAGAAGCTATAACATAAATCTGATGGAATTCAGAAAAGTGAGTGAAAATGTGTTTCCCTGAAGTTATTGACAAATTTCCACTGATTGCTGCAAACTAATGTGTTCATATCACATCTCTTCATCTTTCAAGTGTGGGAGAAACCAACAAAAAAAAGTAAAATGGATGTCTTCTCTCCCAGAATACAATATGACAGAACGCTATTACAAAACTAATGACAAGGTTACTTAGTTTTTCTTTAATTTGGGATGACAGCGAGGGTATGCTTTCATATAAACACTCTACTGTACAATTTTTGCTGGTGCACACAATTTTGTTTCCTAGAAATAGCTGACTCTATATTCCCCAGCTATGCTTATGGGATCAGTGTTGTTAAATCCAGAGTATGTGATTCCTTGGAGTGTTCAGGTAAACTAACTTGTGGGTATCCAGCTACAGTTAGGCAAACAACCAGACTTCCTTGCAACAGGGTGTAGAAACCTGAGAGAAAGGTGTAGTGGGAGGCAGGAACAGCAATGAGACTGAACAGTCATCCCCAGACAGCTTCTCTGCACAGCAGTTTAGAAATAATGAAATTCACTATTGTTACTATTTTTATAACTTTTTAATAGCTTCCTTTTTTTAAAAATAGCTTTCTCTTTTTGTGAAGAGTTGAGTGGCTAAAAACTTGTTTTTACTATTGATCACTCATATCAGCAATAAATAGCTTCTTATACCTGTGTTGTTAGGTATATTTTATTGTTCTACTGGGCTAACACTACCTGCTTGCTACAGGCCTACTTTAAATAGTGCACTGTGTTAAACTCAGTTTTGGAGCCTGAAAACAGAACTTCAAAACTAGGCAGAGTGAAAAGTGAATGTGTGTGCTCCAAAGGAGTTGGGCAGGGGTTCAGGAATCATGGATCTACTGTATGGTGCCCACTGAAAAATAACAGGACTCCCCAAGTCATCGTGTTCCCGAGGAACCAAAGGGTAAATCCCAGCAACTGCCTCAGGCTGCCTGGCAAGGGTGTCTGGGTGCTGTTGTCATAAGGAGCTTGATGGGGTGTTCACTTGGATGGAGAAGAAGTCAGAAGTAAACAAAGTCCATGGCTAAGCGTAACTAGCTTGAAACAAAAACTGCATTCTTCTCCTCACTTTTGGGAACTCCTGAAATAACACGTACCCCTCATTCGTGTGTATCTAGACCAAGATATATTGGTTGATATATCCGCTATCTAGAAAACATGGAATATCATGAAGGGACTTACAGTTGGCTGACAGATTTTCCTGCAGTAATTTATTTTCTACGGAGCATTCTATTTTCATGTTGGACGTGGCTTTAACCCTCAGTGTGCTAAAAACGCTGAAGGTGCCATCGGTGTGGCGCGTGATCTTTAGCCCTGATGGGAGCAGGTGGCTGTTGTCTGTTTTATTTATCCAGTAGACATTAGGCTCTGGGTATCCATTGCCAGATCTGCAGCTGAAAGTCACCTCTTCTCCAGTGCTGCTGCTGTTTCTTATCGGTCCACTGAGTACTGGTGGGCTATAACTAGCTGGAGAGCAAGAGAAACAGTCATTGACACGTTGAAATGTGTTGAAAAGACAACATTTTGATGTGGGTTCTGAAGCAGAAGTTCTGGGTTTCGCACGACCCTCATGACTTGAAAGGGAAACACCTGCAGGTTTGGTACGTACGCCAAAGATCTAACTGTAAGAATAACTGGAAGGGCAGAAAGCTGAAGCCAAACCCAAAGGAAGAAAGCACCTTCTTAAGCTGCTATCACCCACTCATGTGCAAGAGCCCTCATATTAATAAAAAGCAACCTGAAAAAAACCATGCTAGATAAACAGCTGTGAGAAGTACTCTCAGTTTTAGATACCTTATCTGTAACATTGAAATTAAGCAGACTTCATTTCAGCAAAGGGCTGAAGTATGCCTCAAAGTTAAGAGAATGCTTAAATGTGATAGTGACATGGCACAAATTTGAAAATTCAGGCAAATATGTGCAAACGATACAAATTCTTACCTGCTAAACTGAGAACAACTTTTGTCTGGTGAATCACTTTGGTATATTCAGTTGTCTGCAATACCACACATTTGTATGTATGTTCATCACTCTGGCTGACGTTTAGCAGTAGCAAAGAAAAATCACCATTTTCCAGTCTATCCCAGAATAACCGAGTCCTGTTTTTGAAGTGAATACACTGTTCACTTTCGTTGTCTTGACCAGAGATCAGTGCATGCACAACTAAACACTCTTCTTGACTATCAGCTATTTGCCAATATACCCGTAAATTCTGTAAGTGAAATTCTCTTCCTTGATAAATGCAACTTAGTGTAGCATTGTCTCCAAGTTTACTGACAATGGTCTTCTCCTCTAGTGCAGTAACTACAAGATAAAAAGAGAGAGGAAAAAAAATGAAGGTTATGGGGGAAAAAAGTAATTATTTTCAAGTATATTCTGCAACATGTGGACTCCAGTATTAGTATTTATAACAGGCAGGTGAATGTGTTCACTTCACAGTCATTCCCACCTCCTGACTGGCCAGTGGCTAATTCTCTCCATGTCTGTCTGTCTGTACATTTTCCAAAGGGACCTTTTACAATATGAAGCCTTCTGCTTGTCTCTTTCTTGGAGGTCCAACCAGTCTCAGCATTCCCAGACCTGTGGATACCTGCAAGTTTCACTTTGCCCATTGACTAGGACTGACTGCATACACATTTGAGTCCTGGTGCTTTATTAATACCTTTTTTTAATTAATAAAAATGTCGGATAACACCAGGTAAATCACAACAACTGGAAACATTGATAAGAAAAAGAGTCCTACCATTATTTTGAGACCCAAAAACTTAAAAAGGGGAGTAAAAACAGTGTTTCTCAAAGTGGGCATGTCAGACCAATCTTATTTTATTACTACCATCGGTGTCATTCTCTCAACAAATATACCCAGCTAGCAAACCAGCATGCCCAGATACCCTCAGTGACACATTTACTAAACATTTACAACCTCTCACAGCCACTTCAGGTATGCCAGCACAGTATTTGCCTTTCAGGGCACTTTTCCTGGCCTGCAGACATGAGAAAGGGAGCCTCTCCTCCTGATGAGCAAGAAGATGATGTCAGCTGGTTGCCAAGCACTGCAGAAGGTGCAGCTACTTGGAAAGGGCCAGGATGGCTTTGACCTCAGCCTCCCTTCTGGGAGGGATGCACCACCTCCCCAGCCAAACCTGGTGCAGCTGTTGGTCAGACCAAAGCAGTGTGCATGTTGTAAATGCTGGATTTGGGGGCAAGAGGGCGTAAGACGTGGGATTGGATAGAAGAGATGACAGCTGGGGGAAGGGATTATGCAGGTGGGTGAATTAGGGAAAGATGACAGGAGTGAGGTTTGGAAATATGGAATCGGAGCATGGCAATGTTTTATGTAAATGGGGATATGTCTTTGTTTTGCTGCACTGGACTTGGAGATCATAGAATCACGGAATGGTTAACGTTGGAAGGGACCTTAAAGATCATCAGGTTCTAACCCCCCAGCTATGAGCAGGGACACCTCTCACTAGACCAGGCTGCACAAAGCCTCATCCAACCTGGCCTTGAACACCTCCAGGGAAGGGGCATCCACAACCTCCCTGGGCAATCTATTCCAGTGCCTTACTACCCCCATGGTGATGAATTTCTTCCTGATGTGTAACTTAAATCTGCCCTCTTTCAGTTTAAAACCATTACCAATTACTTATCCACCAAGTGCTCTATATGTCAAAACCATATCTTGTCAGTTTGCAGACCAGGATGTCATGTAGGCAGTGTCAAACACCTTGCACACATCCAGGTAGATAGCATCAGTTGCTCTGCCACCATCCACCATCTCTGTAGCCTTGTTGTAGAAAGCCACTAGATTGGCCAGGCATGACTTGCCCTTAGTGAAGCCATGTTGGCTGTCGCCAATCACCTCTTTATTTTCCATGTGCTTTAGCACAGTTTCCAGTGGGATCTGCTCCATGATCTTACTGGGCACAGAGGTGAGGCTGACTGCCTTGTATTTCCCTGGATCTTCCTTTTTCCCCTTTTTAAAAATAGGGGCTATATTCCCCTTTTTCCAATCAGCAGGAACCTCACCAGACTGCCATGACCTCTCAAACATGATGCACAGAGGCTTAGCAATTGCATCCACCAGCTCACCCAGGACCTGTGGATGGACCCCATCAGGTCCCATAGATTTGTGCACCTTCAGGTTCTTTAGATGGTCATGAACCTGTTCTTCTCCCGCAGTGAGGGGTGTTTCGTTCTCCCAGTCCCTACTTTCACCTGCTGTGGCCTTTGCAATGAGGCTGGAGCACTTGCCAGAGAAGGCTGATGCAAAGAAGTCATTGAGGACCTCAGCCTTCTCAATATCCTGTGTAGCTAGGTCTCCTGTTTCCTTCAGGACAGGGTCTACGTTTTCCTCGGTTGTCCTTTTATCCCCAGCATACCTATAGAAGCTTTTCTTATTGCTCTTTACATCCCTGGAGAGATTTAATTCCATCTGGGATTTGGCTCTCCTTACCTGATCCCTAGCTGCTTGGACAACCTCTCTGTAATCCTCCCAGGATACCTGCCCTGGCTTCCACCCTCTGTATGCTTCCTTCTTAAGTTTGAGCGTTTCTAGGAGCTGCTTACTCATCCATGCCAGCCTCCTAGAATTTTTATCCTGACTTCCTTTTAGCTCATCTACATGTCTGAGTTTGACTCCCTGGCTGAAAAACAACTGCTGAGGTGACTGCAAGTATTTGCATGGAGGAAGGCAGGCCCTTATCTTCTGCTGGCTGAGACAAGTAGCTGGTTTGAACTGCAACAGGGATGCTGCAGCTCAGTCTTAAGGGAAACCTCTCATAGCAGCAGGAAAAGCAATGTTCTGGAAAGTACTGCCTGGGAAGATGGGGGCACCTCCATCACTGGTGTTATTTAGGAACAGGCCAGGTGGCATCTCTTGAAACTGAATCTAGTACAATTTATCCTGATTTCAGGGCTGGGGACTTTCCTTGATGACTTTGTTAACATCCTTCTTAGTGATTAAATAAGAAGAGATACAACTCTAAAAACATTTCAAGTGATGTCCTTTAACCTTATCTTTATTTTGAAAGGTATTTTTGGACTAGTAGTAGAAAGAAGACTTACTTATATTGGGCACTTGATACAGTGAGGTATAATTCTAGTTGTAATACAGGTAAAGAATGTTAGATCTGCTTATCAACAGCCCTTATTATGCTGCTTCTCAGGCCTTTTGTTGGCAGAGAAAAATGAACAGGAAAGTCTTGTAAAGCAAGCAGAGCAATCTAAGCCAGAGCATCCATAAGGTTCTTCATTATTCTCTGTACTGAAACTGACAGAAGCTGATTTTTTCTTCTTTCCCTGATGCATGTTACACAGAGGAATTCTTAAATGTCTTGCTAAAACACCCAGATGTTTATATTCTACATATTACAAATACTCTGTGTATTTGTCCAAACACATTAAGGGAGGGCATCTTCATTTTTACCTGAAGTGTTCTGAACTTACCAGCTCTCAGGATATGAAGAAGCAGTAAAAGAAATCCACAGCTAAAATAAAAAAGCAAGCAAGAGTGTTAAATGATAGACTTTAGCATCTCTATTGTTTACATAAGCAACAAGCCTAATATTGATTGTTTCAGTATAGCAGCAGAAGTAAGTAAATTAGGTACTGCTCCTATGTAATGTCCCATTAAGTATTTGCATTTTTGACAGCTGCAAAACTTCAGTTCAAACGACTTAACTCTGTGAGTGGGTGGCCAAGGCCAAGAATAGCAATAAAATGCACTAATATTGGAATGAGAGCAGACGGCACAAAGCTGGTGTTGTGCCTGTCTTGTGAAAAATGAATTGTATAGCTTTACTGGGCAAATAGGCCCTGGAGGATCTCTGGATTGTGGGGAAGGAGCACGGTGGCACAGGCCTAAACCCAGGTCACAGCCTTGCATTCCACTGTTTCACCGAAACTCAACAGGTTACAGTTTTATCTGGGCAAAAGATGACAGGCAGCTGACCATGCTGCCCACTGTCTTGTGCACTCAGTAAAAATGTGTAAACAGGAAACGTGCTGATAGTAAGGAGCTGTGCAAAAGCTTTGCTGGAAGGAATTTAGTGTGTTTGATTACTCTGGAGGGGCAAATTGATTCGGGAGTTTCCCAAGGGAGCTACACCTGCTGGATGCCACTGGAAAACCCAGTTTAACCTTATCTATAAAGCCCAGGTGATTTAACTCTTATCCCATGGGGCTTTAAGAAAGATAAATGTGCAGCATTAGGAGTTACTTTAACATAGCCTTTCACCACCATGCCTAGCTTTATACATTGTGCTCTCCTCCAGGCCGCTGGGGGAAAGGAAGATACTGGAAAGCTTCTGGAATGGGAGCTGTGTGGCTGCAGTTGCCCACCTCGATATTGCCCCAGATGCCATAAGGTTGCAAAGCTGAGCTGATGGGCAGAGGGACATGAGCACCTGCTCATCTCCAGTTTGCCCAGCTCACTTCTTCAAGCGAGGAGGACTGTGAGGCCACACAACCTGGGTGCAGCCGGTTTGCTCTCCCTGTTATTCTCAACCCTCAGCCAGGTCCAACACTGAACCAAGAGCTGCAGTAATGGGAATAACTGTTCACAGCAGCCCATGTCCACCTAGGAGCAAGCTCTATGGTCTCCCACCTGGACTGCTTGCCTTCTTCCCTCCAAACCAACCCTGCTCTGCCTAACCCTCCTCCCTTCAAGCCCTAACCCAAGCTCACTCCCTCAGCAGCCATTTCTCACCTTGCTTTTCCCCATCAGCTGTGCTTTACATCATACTCTCTCTCTTCCAGGCTTCCTGCCCTTTCTCCACAGCTACTGCCCCTTTGTCTAGCCAAGCACCAGGATCATCAGCAACCTCCTAGGCACAGCATCACTTCTGCCCAGTTTTACTCCTATCAGCTGCCTGGGCACAACTTGGGTGTCCTCTGCTATGGAGGATGGTCTCTAATTCCCACCTGCCCCCCCCCAAAATATAATCTTCCTAAACTTCCTAAAATGTGGCTTCCCATGGAGAAAACAGAGGGCAATCCTGA